TATAATTAATCTTATTTCTTACTATTAAAATCTTTTTAGAAATCTTTAGTCAAAGCTATACATATAATTAAAGAAGAAATATACAATAATTAAAATTATAAATTTTATGAATCGAAGAAAATGAGTCAACAAATTAGTCAGGTTGTATATCTTAAATAGGGCAATTTTATGTTTTTTATATGACAAAAAGTTATGAATGTTCTGTAATAATTAAAGTAAGTGTACTGATGTGCTAATGGTCAGTTGTGATTTAAAAATGAGAAGACTGTAATAAAAATAAATCTTGTTCACAACAAAGTATACATTTTTTCAGTTCAATTTAATTAAAATGCTTGGAATTTAAAAAGCTTCACTATTTTATCTGCGCTACATGCATGAAAAAAATGTAGTAATAGAAAAAAATAAGTATTTTTGATCAGATAGTTTAGCGCTTCGTGCATATTCTACATTTTGTTTCTTGTTCCTAAGAACAACTGTATCCCACCCTAAGGCAAATAGTACACCACTATGACGAGCTCTGCCTCGCGTAAAGAGTCAGTGATTTTGCTCAGTATTATTAAAGTTTCAATATTAATTAATGTTTTTAACTCTGCAATGTACTCTGAAGACTTTCAACTAAGCGATTAATATTCATACATTATTATAAATATCATAGTTTTTCTATAATTATCGAAAACAGAGTAGGGGACGGAAGTGCCCCACCCCACCTTATCATGATTCAGGAGATTGCTGATGAACTAAAAAGTAGTTTTGCTTCTTTCGGAGATCTTATTACCCTTGACCTTGGTTTTTTTTTTTCAAATTTTTTAACTGGAAAAGCACATTGGTTCTATAAGATTTATTTATGTTTTATGCAAACTTGCATCTTGATACCTATTTGTTTAACAGAAGCAATAAGTATTACTTTAAAAAATAGCACATGTTTCACAAGAAAATCTCTTTCCAGTGTATACATTCATCATAACATGAATTTTTCACAGTGACGTTTTGCTTTGCTCCCCTTCTATCTAACCATATTCTGCAATTATTCATGGCAGATATTCTTACTTTATCGTTTTATAACCAAATTATCCACTAACTTTCAATAAGGTTGCTAATACATGGTGTCTTATAGGTACCTATCCAATGGGAAAGTGTAGATGTAACGCCTGTCCGAGGACCGGATGGAAAATTTGGCATACCCCAAGCTGCTATAGATTCAATTAATAAAAATCAAATTGGTCTCAAAGGTCCTCTTATGACTCCAATTGGAAAAGGTCACAGGTCATTGAACCTTGCTCTGAGAAAGTGAGTTTTTAATGGTTATACACATTCACTTCTTACGCCATTTAGTAAGTTATTCCATTATAATTAACTGTGAAATTTTACTGTTTCTGCTAATAAATTGAATATGTTATAATGTCAGATAAAAAGTACTTTGACATAAAGGGGGTGCTTGATTTGAACATAAGTTCAAAGACAACAAGCGAAAAAGGAAATTCTTATTTAAAATAAATAGGCGTAGCTCTTACTAGCTTGTTTTGGTTACAGTTCAGTTTGTTTTGCAGCGTAATTTGATAATAAATTTAAAAAAAATAACATTCTTTGTATTAAGAAATATTTTAAGGTGAATTAGTTTTAGTAATTCATCCTAAATATTTTATTATTGTATTTATAAATACGATTTAGTATATAGATCATTAATGACTTGACAACAACTTATGTTTCCTTCAGTTTAATACACGTTTGTGGATAAATACAACTGAACTTTAATGTTATGTTATTTGCAATCAAAAAATGTATGACGTGCTGCTACCAGTGCATAAGTAGATCATTAAAAAGTTACTAGAATGGTAATTATTACAATTATAATTAAATTTTTTTTATTAATGCACTTTTTCTACTGACATACGAAATGAGTGCGGTTTATGGGCACCTTATCCGCTGTGTGTAACTGCCTGTCCTGCCACCCTTGCAGCCACCTGCGGAAACGACCTAATGGTATGTAAACAAAGCTAAATCGTAGTGCAGAGATGGGAAAAAAATCCTTTAAATCAAATTGATTATTATTTATTAGTATTTGAACGATGAAGTTAATATTTATATAAAGGGAAACGTATGTTAAATAAAATGTAAGTATAATTTTGCTCAATCGTGTCTTGTAGTTAAGATAAAAATAAAATTTTTTCTCTTTTTTGAGGTTGTGTGCTTTGAGAGCTAAGCCGAATGAGATGTAGATTACCTTAATGATGTAAGAAATGTCAAGAGATAAGTATGACTCCTTGCATGTGCATGCATACCTTTCTTACATCATTAAGGTAATCTACATCTCATTCGGCTTAGCACTGACAGCATACAACCTCAAAAAAGAGAAAAAATTTTATTTTTATCTTAATGATAAGGAAAATTGAAAATTCTTAAGGATTGAGCAAAATTATACTTCTGTTTCATTTAACANAATTTAGGAGTGAGAATAAAAACTCCAAAGTCAGGTGTTAGTTTGAGCAACGTTTCGTTGGTCTGTAACGATCGTCTTAACGATATAGACTGAGCCTGATGAGGTTGGCGTTAAGACCAACGAAACGTTGCTCAAACTAACAACTGACTTTGGAGTTTTTATTCTCACTCCTAAATTAGCTCTTACTGATCGTGTGCTTATGCACTAAACCTCAAGAAATCATGGAAACAATTGGGAGCAGAACGGCACGTTCAACAAACACCGTAACGATTTGGCTTTGTTTACATACATTAAGTCGTTTCCACAGATGACCACGAGGGCGGCAGCACAGGTTGTTTCACATATTGGATACCAGCTATATGTGAAAGGTGTTGATTTTAAGGCTGACTAACCTTGATTTTTATGTTATCTTTTAATAGCCATTCAATGACTTCTTGATGATTGTTTTCATTTCTTTACCTAATCTTTTCTTTTCTTTACTTCTATCCTAGACCACCCCACTATTTCCAACTTCTCTCACATCTAACCAAAGTGACTGCAGATCCCTCTGGGCCATCTTATAATGCAGGAATAGTTACAAGTCTTAGGAAAACCTGAGCTCAAATTAACTATGAAAAACAGTTTTAATACTGATCATACCAGGATCAAAATCTACGTCTCACTAGAGCAGTTTTACCTCAAGGTCAAAAATGTAAACCTTATTCTGCCAAGCTAGAATTACTCTGTTCTATTTATCTATGATTATATTATTCATAACAAAGACATACATATCTTTTTAATTAAGAAAAAAATTACGTACAATCGTTTCTGGTCAAACCCCAACTCCTTTTCATTTATATTATCACTGTCTAACATATCCTTCATCTAGAGCCTTTAATTTATCTCTGTTACCTGTTGTATTACTTGGAAGTGACCGTTTTATTGCTATAAAACGTAAGCTTCTTAACTTCCCATCAATATTATCGAGCTTTTTGTTATTATTTAGTAAAATCAGTTGAACAATTTACAAAAAGTTGAATGAAACATTTGACTTCGTTAGTTGTTACACGTACAAACACACACGTACAAAACTAAAATTAGGTTTTGTTCCATCATTTATTCTTTGCTCGCAAAAAGCTGGTTATTTAGATAACCTTGGTCTTGTTTATTTACATGGAGATCAAAAACAAGGTTATTTTAATTCACGTAGTTATCCTTAGTAACGTTAAAAAAAAAATTTCGTACTTTGTTCAGTTGTTTTGAATAACTCTTACGGACGTTAGTATATTTATAAAACAAGTTATATAACTTGAATCCTAGAAATTTATTTTCCGTATGTTCAATCAAGCTAATTTTTAGAGAAGCGTGAAGAGACTATCTTATTATTGCAAACTTATGTTATGGGATAGTAGTAAGCAACTCTTTTTATGTTAAGCATAATGTTATTTTAATGTTAAAGATATTTTTAGATATTTTTAAAGTAGTAATTAAAACTCTATGTAGATACAGCTGAAGATGTACTATAAGCCCCGAGATATCTGCTTTATTTGTTTACAAGAGCTATTTGCAGACACATTTTCAGCTACATCAAAGTTACCATTTGGATTTTTATTTTTTTTCTACATGGTCTTTAATAAAGACAAACTAAGGGTAAAAATTCAGATTGCTCACTGTGTTACAGCTTTCAAGTTACACTTTTGTTAAGTTATAGGGTTCAATGAAACAAAATACCAATAGTTTAAAAAAAAAGTGATTTTCTTAAAGAATTCAAGCCATAGAATATTGGTAAAAGTCGTCCATAAAACTTTTTTGATGCATGTAAATACTAAAACCTAGAATACATGTAGAACATTACTTTGTCAAATGACAGTATAGTCAAGGGGCTAGATATATACGTACAGGAAGTCCATGGATAAACCAAGACTTTTCTTATTAATTTTTTGTGTAAAATTGATGTATCTAGAAAAAAACGTTTCAAAGTGATAAAATTTGTTTTAAACTCAGTTGTTTAAGTTGTATAAGTGAATGTAAGTAAAGTCTCCAAATTAATAAGTGAAAATTTAAAATAATAATTAACTGTCAGTTACAATAATTGTAGAAATAAAACTATTAAATTTATCGAATTATAAAAGAAAAGAAAGTAGAAATAAAAATAAGACGTTCCAAGTTCAAGATTGACGTGAGTATACTACCCGCCATTCTATTACTAAAAATAAAATTGTGATGCGCAGATGTTCTGGTAAACTTCAATGACAATGTTGATGGCAGCTTAATTGGTCCGATCAGCCTGGATAAAATCGAACTGAACGTAGTCTATTAGGCGATGGGTGCATCAGAATGCTGAGATTGACAACGACCTGGCCGTAAGATATAAGCATACACTTCAGTGCCTAGGTCAGCCGTACCGATAAGCAGATATACTTAAGGCTAATAAGACGTGTTCGCCTTCAGCAGTAGCACATCTACGTTAAGAGAGTTTGGTGTGCATCCAGGCTTGACAGTAATCTTGCTCTGGCCAAGAGCACCTGTAAAATGAACACCACCCATTTCGTCAATTGATAAACAAGCTTGAGACGCGTGGCAGCTGTAGAGTGTTGGCCAAGCGTTGTGACAGAAACGAGTACTGTGACTCTTGATTGATCAGTGTTTAAACATGATGTTCCTGGCCGTTAGCTCTCACTACGCTGACCTTTGCTGTGGGTAGTAATGTTGGCGCAAAATATGTTGTTTCTCTCACCAAAACATTGAAAGACTCGTCGCATTGAATCGGCATAGAATAATTTACTATGCAGGTGTGGTGCTTAGTCCCACATACACTACAAGGCTTCCAGGAGCGAAAAGTTGAAGCAGCATGGTAGCCCACGTAGCTCTCACATAATGGCTTTTCGATGATGAATGCCCTCCTTTGCGTTAGACTTGTGGTTTTAAAGGCTTCGCAAATCCATAGCTGGACTGATGACGCATGAAGCTGAGAAAACATCCTGGCACGTTTGATCCAAATAATGACTGGTGCATACGCATGTCTGTTAACTGCTGCCCCTCCCCGCTGCCCGAGGCCACCCTAAAGAGCATCAGAATGGGTCCCTCGAGAAAATCAGTCAGCTGACTTAATTCGCTCTCTCGAAGTTCCAGGTGATTATTCCCAATCGTGACGCATTACGGCGTCCAGTCGATTGATAATGATATGTATTAGTGCATCTTTCAGTGTGCTCAAAATTCTTTCAAAATTGTAAAAGGAAACGCTAGAAACAAAAAATAAGCAATAATACTAGTCGAACGCAAAGAAGCAGTCAAGGTACATCTCGAATGACTGTACATTGAAGTTCATTAGAAACCATGGCAGTGGCTGAGACGGACTCCTTAGTATTAGAGTTAGATTTAAAACGAGCCAGAAAACATAATAATAATCTACCTGATGATGAACTAAACATTACTTCTGACCTGAAAGGGAAAAACGTGCACTTACACGAATCTGCATCGGCTTTTTACATCAAACATGATATAAAGATACTCAAACAACACAAGCTTCTATTGACAAATATGAAAGCAGTTAGAATACCTTCTTGCATTTTCTAAATTATATGTGATGGTAAAATTTAAAGCTCAATGGTTAGCAGTGTCATCTTTATTCTTCCTAATGTGTAAAATTAGTAGCTGTAGAATGTAGATGACAATGGTAATCCGACGAAACTATCACTGAAGCATGGGTTTAACATGGTATTTTATTCTGAAATAACATCCTTTTAGCATTTAATAAGATTAGCGCGTACGGTTTTACCTGTTATTGTGGGAGATTCCAAAAAAATAAGAAAGATTTTTTTCATCGATTTAAAATGATGACTATTATACTTATTGTTTGAGTTTTATAACT